GGCGGCTTCAACGCGAGCGACGGCGAGTGCAACGCGACGACGCAGGCTGCACCCCGCTTCCGCGCCGAGGGGGCGCAGCTGCAGGCGGCGCCGGCGAAAGGGGCGTCCCCGAGGCTCGTCCCGCCGTCGTTTACTCTTTTTGCGGCGCCGGATCCAGGCGGTGGTCAACGCGTCGCGAGGCGGCACGCCGTCGCTCGAGGTGTCGCGCACGATGCTGCTCCGCACCGTGCGGCTCGCCGCGCTCGCCGGGCAGCAGGCGGCCGCCTCAGTGACACTCCGAGACACCTCAATGACACCTCCGAGACGCTTTCGAGACACCTCCGAGACACCTCCGAGACACCTCCGAGACGCCTTTGAGACGCCTCGGAGACACTTCCGAGTCACTTCCGAGTCACGTCCGCGACACTTCCGCGACACGTCCGCGACGCATCCGAGACACGTCCACGACACGTCCACGACTCGCCTGCAGGCGCGGTACGAGGCGGAGCAGGGCGACTTCGCGGCGGCGCGGCAGTGGGACAGCAAGGTGTCGCGGCTCGTGTCGGGCGCACAAGTGCAAATTCGTTGATTGATCAGCCGTTCCCCATCGATTAAGGTGGCGCGGCTCGTGTCGGGCGCGGAGCGGCAGAAGCGGCAGCTTGCTAAGCGGGTGGAGCAGCAGCAGCCGGCGGAGGCGGAGGCGGCGGAGGCGGAGGCGGCGGAGGCGGAGGCGGAGGCGGAGGCGGAGGCGGAGGCGGAGGCGCCAGCGCCGCCTCCTGTGGTAGAGGAGGCGGCGGCGGAGGTGGCGGAGGCGGAGGTGGAGGCGGAGGCGGCCCAGCTGATGGTCGACGGGGGCGGGGGCGTGTCCAGCGCTGCGGGGGGCGGGTTGCAGCAGTCGCTGCTGCAGGAGGTGGACATCGATCCGGCGGCGCCGACGCTGAGCGCGACGCTGCTACAGGAGGTTGCGATGGCGGCGCCGTTTGGTATGTCGGAGGAGGACGAGGTTGACATGATCTCGCGCAGCGCGATGTGAGACCTCTGTTGTATTGTGTGTATACTCTCTATAGAGACGAGACGGCTTTACTGTGTGACTGTATAATGAAAGCACGACCCCTACCCCACGTAAACAAGGATGCGACATGCGAGAGCGTCTTGTCACTGTGTGCACATGCTGCATGGCCGACACGTGCACACACATAAATTCAGTATTCACGAGGTACTGGGACGTCGTATATGGTATATCGTCATCACATGCGAAAGCCGTGACCCGTGTGTAGGGCATGGATGAGACAGTGAGGCCATCACTAATGCGGCCAACACCGTCCTGTAGCATACACGTATGTCGCTCAAGGAGCGCCCATTGTACACCCCTGCAGCAGGATGCCCCTCACGACCGGCCTCGAAGGGACTGGTTGATGCCGAGCGCAAGGAGCCCAGCCAAAAGCGGATGGAAGCGCGCGCCTCGATACGGGTCGCTCGGGCGCTGCCCGGGGCCAGGGCCCCGCTTGGCTGTCCGCAGCGACACATGCTGGTGGAAGGGAGACAAGCCAGGGCACTTGTACTTCTGGCTGCCGTCGGCGGTGCACAGCTGCTCGTAGACAGCGGGCAGCTGCGAAACCCAGAGGTCGGTTGGCTTCTGCGACGGCCCGCCGAGCTGGCAGATGTCGACGGTGGTCCGCTGGGCGCCGTCCCCGCCATTTTGAATCGGTAACTGCATGAACAAAATGTGGTTGTGCAGCCTGACGCGCGACGTCGAAGGCTGCTCGAACAGGAAGCCGAAATCGCTGTTCTTCCGTCCCGGGCCCAAGTCGCGGTCTCGCTGATCGGCGTTGATGCGGCTAATGTGCTTCACGCAAAAGTCCCACTCCTTGCTCAGGTCCGATGCGCCCTCGGCGACGGCGACCATACGGTCCTCAGCAAGCCGTGGGTGCTTGTCCGCCGCCATGTCGCTCTGCGATGCGCAGTTCGGGGAGTAGCTCGCGGCGGTGAGCGTCGGCAGCAACGCCGGCTTGATATCCTCGAGCTTTCCGTCGATGTGGATGTGCATCGGCGCGTTCGCCTCGGCGAAGAGGTTGGGGTGGACGTCGGTGGGGAAAATGACGTCGCACGGGACAGTCCAGTCGTGCGGCTCCTCGCGCGGGATGCCCTTCGAGCCGTCGTCGCAAGAGATAGTGTGCCACTGATGTGACGCAAGCTCGTTCGCCAAACGGCGGGAACCGCAGCAACCCTCGAAGAAGATGGGCCGGCTCGGCGGGAGGCGAGTGGAGCGTTCCTCCTTCGCCCGCTCGTCGGTCACGACCTTGGAGATGCTCGAGATCTTGACGTCGAGGACCACCATGTCGTCGTTCAGCGGCCAAGGCAGCCAGAAGCTGGGCGGGAAGGCTGCGTTCACGCCAACCGCCTTAAGTAGCGCGTCGCGATCGTCGTGCTTACTGAACCTCAGCCCGCGCTGCTTGAGGCGCTTCTCCCACCAATTGTCACCGGCGGAGAGAATGAGCAAGCTGCCGCCGCCGCCGCCGCCGCCGCCACCCCCGCCGCCGCCGCCGCCGCCTCGGCCGCCGCCTCCGCCGCCGCCACTACTGCTGCCGGCACTGCTGCCGCCGCCTCGCTCGATCGGCGCGGCCGCCTCGTCGGCTGCCCATTCCTGTATGCGCGCGAGGAGTTTGGTGCCGATGCCCTGCTTCTCGTGCGTCTCGCTCACGCTGAACAAGGTGACGACGGCGGAGTGAAAGGTCGGGTCGCGTGCACCCCTGTACACCTTGGCGATGGCCGAGGCGCCGAGAATCTCCACGCAACCGTCTTCCTCCTCTTCGCACTCGCCAGGCGGTCGGTCGACTCCCCGCGTCGCGAGCGCCAAATGCAGGCTGCGCAGCTCTGGCGCTCTGGGGGAGGAGATCTGGCGCCCCGTGAAAAGAGCAAAATTGGACAACGTGGACTGGTGCTCCTTGACGAGCCCCTCCAGCAGCGCGCTCACCAGCTGGTCCCGCCCTCTCATCTTCGGGAACCGCTTGGCGAAGAGGGCCTTGACGTCCCCGATGAAGTCCTGCCTCACCTCGTCGATCGGATGAACTTGGCACGTCACCGAATCGAGATCGATGGGCACCGGCTTCGTCACCGACGATGCCCCACCCTGCGATGCCGCCGAGCCGCTGTGGTGAGAAGCGTCTGAGCCCGTCTCCCACCCATCTGCTCTGTCAGCCTCTAGCTCAGCGGCGTCGCTGCCACCTCTGTCCACCCCTAGCTCTGGCGCCGCCTCCTCGCCACTCCCCGCGCCGCCGCTGCTGCCCGCGCCGCCGCTGCTGCTCGAGCTGGCCGCCGCCTCGCCGCCGCGCACCCCGCCGTTGCTGTTCGCTGATCGCAGCAGCTGCTCGGCCGCGTCGTTCACGTCGCCGCTGCAATGGGCGAGCGCGATGCGGGCGTCGCCCTCGGGAAAGCCCATGTCGATCAGCGACCGCAGCTTCGGGTCGGCTGGTGTGCGCTCCCTCGCGCTGCGGTCCGGCCCGGCCGGCCCTGGTGCTGCTGCCCGTGCCGGCGTCGCCCGAGGCTCTCCGGCCGCAGCCGTCGCAGCCGCCGCCTCGTCGTCCTGCCCCCGCCCCTGCTCCGCTGCCGCCGCTGCCGCCGCTGCTGCCGCTGCCGCCGCTGCCGCCGCTGCCGCCGCTGCCGCCGCTGCCGCTGGTGCCGCTGGTGCCGCTGGTGCCGCTGGTGCCGCTGGTGCCGCCGCTGGTGCCGCTGCCGCCGCTGCCGCCGCTGCCGCTGGTGCCGCTGGTGCCGCCGCTGGTGCCGCTGCCGCCGCCGCTGCCGCCACCCCTCTCACGCGCTGCGGACTCGGATCATCGTCGTCAGACAGCTCAATCGCGTTCTCGGGCCCGCCCGTCCCGCTGCCAGGGCCGGTGACGGGGCGCATCCAGCCCCGTTGGCGGCGCGCGGGGTTTGGCATGGTGGGCTCTGCTGGCGGCGGCCTGGCCTTGCGCTTGCGCTTGCTCTGGCCTTCGGCTAGGAGCCGTTTCAAGTCGCACTCGGTGAAGACGGCCTCGCCTTCAAAGTTCGGCGGGTCGAAGGCCTCAACGCTGCCGGTCGACAGATTGACCCGCCCCACTCGCGTCATCGTCTTTCGGTAGCTGTCGTTCGGCCCCCATCGCTTCTCGCGGATGATTCCGTCGTCGCGTTGGTACACGGCGATAAAGCAGCTGCCAGCTTCGTCCAGGTGGGGGACGCCAAGTCGACGCACGACGGCCAGGTCGAAGTCGCCTTTCGACGGATCGCCTCGAGCGTGCGAAAGGAGTCGGGGTGTGCCGATGTACACGTCGCCGACCGCAGGCGCCGCACCCTGCGCGGCAGCCTGACCCGGAGGCGAGGGCGGCGACGGCGGAGATGGCGCCAGTGGGGGCGCCTCCATGCTTGGTGCGAGGCCAAATTTTTCATTTATTTTTCAGTGTATGTAGCTCTTACGAACATACCCGTAGGTGAACTGCTGACAGGGTTTGCGATGAGGAGCGATCCGAACGTGGTATTCGGGTGATCAGATCACTACCGCCGAAGCGCAAGCGCTTGGAGCAAGGGAACTGCCACGTATGGGTCCCAGACTAGCACCCCACCTCGCGGGCCGACGTTCTGGCCCAGCAAGGCTGCTGCGGAGCACTCGGGGCCGATGTTCTGGCCCAGCGAGGCCGCTGCGGGGCACCCGGCGGCTCGGTTCGCTCATCAGCGCAAACTCGGTCGAGCAGAAAGTAAGGTGTGTGTGTAAAGGCGGCGCGGCACGATAAGGGTCGGCGGTAAGGCGGCGCGGCGGCAGCAGGCGGCAGGCAGGACATCGGACGGCGGGACATACGGCGCGGCGGGCGCGGCACTGTAGGAGCGGCTTTTTGTTCCCATGGAAGATCAAAAGAAAGAAAAGGACCAACGGACATCCCAAGAGAAGGATGGGAGGACGGCCACGAAAGATCAAGTGTGAGGGAACCATCGCGCTAAATTCTTCGAGGGCAGCTTAAGTAAAATTCTTGGTTGCGCCGCGAAAGGTCAAGCGATGACGGCGACCGCTGCATCCCTCTTGCCGCTGCTCGCGACGCTGGTCCCGTCGCGCCCTAATATTCCGATCGCACCCCGAGTCTCCCAATTCATCTCCATGCAGTCGGTCGCTGCGCCTGAGCCAACTCTCATTCCCGGTCTCTCCGCATCGGACTTCCAGCACCCAGAGGACAAGCGTGCGAGCCAGCTGCTCAAGACCTTCTTCGCACCCGTCGAGCTGGCGCTGCGTGGGGCCTTCTCGGCCCTAGTCGAGGACGCACTCTTCATGGACAACATCGCGAGCGGCGTGCTAGTTGGCCCTCGCCAGCTACCAGAGCTGCATCAGGTGCCGCAATGCAAGTCTCATAGGCTCTCGTTTCATCTCCCGACCCTTGCACCTCGAGCCTCCGCCTCCCCTCGACCCCGCCCGCGCCTCCAGGCCCTCCTCCGCTCGTGCAAGCTCCTCTCCATCGAGACGGCGCCCGACCTGTACATCCGGCAGTCGCCGTACCCAAACGCGTACACCGTCGCCGTGCAGGCGAGAGAAACAGCCGAGAAAAGGGACGGCATTCCCTCGAGAGATGGCCTGCTGCCTGGCCCACAAATTCCTCTCTCACAAAAACACAATCCCCAGTCCGGACAGTCAGCGACGGCAGTCAGAAGCCTCTCTCACACACCCCTGACCGCGTCCCGCACGTCGGACGCCGCAGGGCCGCCGCCCGTTCGTCGTCGTCACGACCAGCCTCCTCGACCTCCTCTCGCCGACCGAGGTGCACCCTCCCCCTCCCCCTCCGACCCACCGCCAGTAGGCCTCGTGCGCTTGGAATGCCGTCCGGCTCCTGTCTGCACGGATGTGGAAGACGGCTGCCATCGCGCCGCCCTTGCCGCTGCCCTGCTCACCGCACCGCCGCCGCCGACTCCTCCCGACAGGTGCAGGCCGTCATCGCCCACGAGCTCGGCCACCTCAAGTGCGAGCACTCCCTCGCCATCGCGATGGCCAACTTGGTGCGGCACCCAACCGACATCACACCAACACCGCCTGCTAGCACCGCCACCAACGCGGCTTTCGCACCGCCGCCTCCAGTGCCCGCCACCGCCGCTGCACCAGCACCACTAGCACCACCGCTGCCGTCACCACCGCCAGCCCCAACCCTCACCCGCCCGCTCGCCGCAGGTGCTCAGCCCACTCGCGAGCGTCTCTCCCGTCGCCGACGCGGCGCTGCAGACGCGGCTGCTGCGCTGGCAACGCGCGGCGGTGCGCTGCTCCTGCACTGCCGCACGCCGCCCGGCGCCTGCCTGTCTCTGGACGTGGCGTTTCGGGGGTAGCCCACACCCTTACCCTTGCACTAGTTTGCTGCGGTGCGCTGCTGGTGGCGGCGACACTCTGGCTGGTGAGACGGCAGAGAGCGCCACCGCCACGGCTCTTGTGTGCGCGACCGCGACTGGTTTGTGTGTTGGGCGAGACTGCGGTGTGGCGGCAGAGAGAGCGACGCGGCTTTGGCCTTGCTCCCCCAGCCCCCCCCCCCCCCCCCCTCGCCGCACCCTGGATAGGAACTGTCCTGGGACCGCGCCGCCCTGCTCGCGGTCGGCGACGTGCGCGCCGTCCAGGCGGTCACGATGAAGCTCTGCGGGGGCTCAAAGGCGTCCGGCAAGTCGATGGACGTCCAGGCCTTTGTGGAACAAGCCGGGGAAGGGGGGGGGGGGGGGGGTAGCCGCGCCGTCCGAGATGCAGCCCGAGAGATACAGCCGAGAGAGGGCGGGCGGTGTGTTGGGCCGACGTGGACGCCGATGCTCCTGCCCGCGCAGGCCGCGCAGTACGACGAGGTTGCCGACGGCTCGCGGCTCGGGCGGCTCGTGCGGCAGTCGCAGCAGCGCGAGGCGACGCACCCGTTGCCAATCTACCGCGTGCGCGAGCTGCAGCGCTACTCCGACTCGGGCGAGTACGCGACGCTGCGAGCACGCGGGAGGCCGCTCGGCGAGGGCACTGGCGGTGGTGCGGCGCCGGTGGCGCCCCAGCCGGTGGTGGCTTGAACAAGGACAGTAAACACACGTTTAGAAAATTCTTTCGGTGCACGAAATGGTGTCCCCCCAGCAATGACATCCTCGTGGCACGATCTCAGAGGGATGCTCGGCCGAGGCCGAGGCCGCGGGCGTTGGGCCAGGTACCAATTTTGTCGAATTTATTTCAAAATCTGCAGGCGCGGAGCGCCTGCGAAAATTTTGAAGAAATTTGCAGTCGGGTCTGATTTTCATCAAGATCTTTCAAATTTGCGGTGTGGTCTCTGTGGAGTTGGGGGGTGTGGGTAGGTTAGGGTTATTAGGGTTAGAGGGTTAGGGTTAGGGTTAGGGTTAGGGTTAGGGTCAGGGTTAGTCTGGTTGTGTCTGTATATGCCAGCGTTGCAGGGTTCTGCGCTGGGATCTGGCCCCACAGCGCCGACGACTAAGACTCAGCCCCACACGCTGACCTAGGGTTAGGGTTAGGGTTAGGGTTCGGGTTAGGGTTAGGGTTAGGGTTACTCGGCGGGGTCGCAGCTGCCTCTGCGCGTCCTGAGGGAGGAGAGAGAGCGACATCTCTCAGAGGCGCCGTTCACACAAAAAACACAACCACGGACCCAAGACGCACAAGCTCACACAGTCGAGGCGCCGTTCACATAAAACCCCGGCCAAATGACACAGCAACACGGGGTCCCAGGGAAGGCGCCGTTCACGCAACCCAAAAGACCGCGTCGTTCGTGGACCCACCCCACACACACCCCTCTCTCACTCTCTCGCACTCGGTCTGACCGAATGCAGAACCTTTTTCAGAAGCTTGAGGCAGCGAGCTCGAGCGCCGCCGAGCGGCTCGCTCGTCGCTGTGGGGTCGCCCCCCTCACTCGGGGCCCCTCGCACCGCCTGGCCCCCTCCTGTTCGCAGGTGCGGCCTGGTTTCGGCGGCCCGACTCACTTACCTCTGTTCTTGCCTCTGTTCTTGCGCGCCAAGATAGCACTTTGGCGCGCCCCGAACCCTGTCCAAAGCCCAACACGCACTCATATGGAGATCCAGGTTGGCCAAGCCGTCGAGCTTATGGCCGTGGAGAACGCTGGTCTCGACATCACAGGCAAGCGCGGAACGGTGACGGAGATTCAGAGTCACGGACTCGTCAGCGTTTCGATTGATGGCGGTGGCGACGTCAGCGTTTGGCCAGAAAACCTCAAGGTCGTGTCCGGTCCGGCGGCGGCAGCGGCGGCAGCAGCGGCGGCGGCCGGAGCGAGCGCTCAAATCAGAGTCGATGCGGTGCGCAGTCACAGGGCGGCGGCCGCCGCCGCGATCCCCGGATTCGCGCAGATTCTCGCGGATGCGACGGCGACGGCTGGCGGCATTGACGCAGTGGACGGTATGCTCGCTCAGTGCAAGGCGTTTGAAGACCAGTCGCTGGAGATGCACCGCGGTGGATCCTCCGCTGCGGACTGCCTTGCATGGCTGGACGCGAAGCTCCTCTCGATGCAGCTTGAGCCCGACGCCTCGGCCGTGTGGCAGGCGTTCAATAGCATGGTGGAAGACTAGGAGGAAACTCGGCGACGGCGCCAGAGTGCTCACAGGTACGAGAGCGCCGGGTAGAGCCGTACCTCTCTACTCTGAGGTTAGTACCTGCCGATGTTGATGGCGTCGCCGTATGTACGCGTGTGGTTGCCGGCTTGCGGGACCGAGTGGTAGTCACCGAGTGGTAGTCAACAATGCCACCGAGTGGTAGGGGGTGGCTCCGCCCAGTGAAATCTGAAAAGCTACTTATATTATGTAGTGTTTGGATTACGTAGTGGTTGATTACAACGTCGTGAGGAGGGTCACTCACTCACACACACTGTGCTCTCACTGGGGGTGATGTGTGAAACCTGCGCGCGGCGAGCGCCCGCGGCCCGGCCCCAATGTCTCGTGAGGCGTTCTTTTCATTTTTTTCTGCTCGAGTATTGCGCGCCATGCGGTCTCGACATGCGGTCATCGTTCAGCGTCCGGGACGTTGGCCGTTCTGTGCTCGCAAGTCAGTTACGAACGACCTTCGTACGGCATTCATCGGCGCCGGTCTCGGTCCTCTCTCTGGCTCTGTGCCGCGATACACCTCGCCAGGTCCTGGTCGCGCCGCCCCTCCCAAAGCTGCGCCGTTGCCCTCAGAACACAGCTTCGGCCTTAGACGGTTCTCCCCTCGCGCCTGCGCATCTTGGAGCATGCACCTGCACCTGCACCTTCATCACCGCTCACCTTGACACACGGGCTCGAATGAGCCCCCGCATGAATGCATCTATGAGCGTCCCCTCAGCAGCACCCCGTGAGCGTCCCCTCAGCACAGACCTAGCCTCACATTTACTGATTCCGCAGGTGACCCCCGCCTCGCGGCTGTCCTGTGCGCCGTGCGCGATGGCATGCTTCACCGACGCATCCTACCAGCTTACTGGCGACCTGCAAGAAGTCGATCACATCGGGCCACAGTCGACCGAGAAGCTCAACAAGCAAGGAATATACACGACATACCAGCTGCTCGGTCACTTCCTACAGCTCGACCGCAACAAGACGGCCTTCTTGGCGCTGCTCAAAAGTGCAGACACGCCGGGGGCACACCGTGAGGCGGTCGCCGAGGCCGTCTCCAAGCGCGTCGCCGAGGTCGGCATCAAGATCGGCGTCACGTTACCGACGCACGTCGACGGCACGCCTGTCTCCAGCAGGCTCGACGAAGCCAAGGCGAAAAAGATCAAGAATATAAAGTTCAACAACGACCTGCGCCACGACTTCCCAGGCGTCGGCTTCGGCAACGAGTCGGAAACTAAGACGGCGAAGAAGCTTGCGGCTCATGGCATCGAGAACACCAATCGCCTCTTTGGTGAGATGCTACGGCACTTTGACCAGACACAGCCGACGCCCGACAACCTGAGCAAGTTCTGGAAGAGGCTGGGTGAGCTCGGCTGCGCGGACGGCTGGAAGACAACGATCATCAATGCGATGATTGCGAAGCTCGACATCGGCATCGACAACTACGAGACGGAAGAGCCTCGCACCGGGCCGCGGCCGCCCACCAAGTCGCGGCTCGAGGAGCAGCGCGCACTGCATGCGTACGAGGCGTTTTTCGACCTGCCCCACGGCTCCGCAACGCTCGACCAGGTCCAGGCTGGCATCGCAAGCTTTTCCACCGCGGAGTTCTCAGACTGGGCACGGCGCTTCCACGACGACGCGACCGCGCAGCTGCAGCGCAAGGCCGAGGCCGAGGCCGAGGCCGAGGCCCTTAAGGCTGAGGTGCGTGAGGCGACTGCCGAGACCAATGCCCTTAAGGCTGAGGTGCGTGAGGCGACTGCCGAGGCCGAGGCCCTTAAGGCTGAGGTGCGTAAGGGCCGCCGTCTCACAGTCCTCGTCAGCCTCACCTTCGCCTTGCTCGCCTATGTGACGTTGGCAGCAGCAGAGCAGCTCCCAGGCTGGTTTGCCACAGCCTCGATACCGCCGGAGCTCTCAGCCCCTGCGATCACGCTCGTCGTCGTCCTCCATGTCGCCCTCCTCATTGGTGGTGCCACCTGGGCCCTGCGCCTGCGCCTGGGCCCTTCGCCTGGGCTTCTCTGAGACTGCCGACGCTGGTGTGCATTGCAACCCGATGGTCCCATCGAGTCGCTGTCGAGAGAGTTCGAGATCCCAGAGAAGCAGCGAACAACACCTCTCAAGCTCAACACCGGACGGCGCGTGTGTGCGCGGTGAGGGTGTGGCGTGAGTGAGTGTAGAGAGGGGGTAGGGGGGGGGGGGGTCGGTGCGCGCGCTCTCTGGCACACTCTGTAGTTTTGGTTAGTTACGCGTTGTAGATATCGAAGGGAAGAACACACAGGCTCGGACTGACACCAATTAACGATCCCATACCCCGCTGGTCCCGGAAACCCGCTGCTCGCCGAGGTGTTTTGGTGGCCACCACACCGACGGCACTCTTGGTTTGGTTGGTGCGGCCGGCCGATGCTCGTTCGACGCCCGCCTCCTCGCGCCCTGACGGCGTCTCTGCTCCGGCGGGCACAGCGCGGCTACACCGCCGCCGACGTCGAGGTGGCAAGAAAGGCCATCGCAGCACGCCGGCCCCAGCCAGAAGCAACCGACAGCACTCGAGTGCTCTACTCGCCGCGCGTGCGGCGGACCTTTGCCGATATAGTCACCGGCCGCTGGCGCGGCCACCCAATCGACCTCAACCACTCGCACGAGGACTGGGCGCGCCGCGAGTCGTCCGACCGCCACATCCGGCACGTCCTCACCACGTTCCGATCAGCCACATTCCGGCGGCTCCTGTATCCTGACCTGGCTGTGACGACCTCCATCTCGGCCTCGGTCGTGCTGCACAATCTGCTTGTGGCGTGGGAGCACGAGCACACCATGACGGTGGAGTCGATCGAGCGCCAGCCTAGATGCGGCCACACACGCAGCCCTCCTCCATTCCAGAGGACTCGTGCCGCGGCTAGACTCAGTGCACTCTGTGCTCACACTCCACCACTGTGCGCGCAGCCCTCGTGCACCGATGCCATATCTCCCCATATCTCCCCATATCTCGCAGCCCTCGTGCACCGATGCCGCGAGTCGAAGCCTGACGCCTCCTTCCTCCTCCCTCTGCAGGAGCGGCATGGCTTCGACCTGCTGCTGCACCACGAGATGATCACGCTGCCGGTGCAGCTGTTGACGCAAAAACACAACCCCGGACCCAAGACGCACACGCACAGACACCCGAGAAACAGCAACGACAGTCAGAAGTCAGCACCGGGTCCCGGGAACAGACCGTTCACGGTGCTCTCCGTCGCGCCAACGACTGCGTGAGTGCACGATCGGCGTCATTGTAGGTGGAGCCGTTCACCATGCTCTCCGTCGCGCTCGGCCTGGTCCTCTCGGTCCGCACCAACCGCGCCTACGAGCGCTTCATCGAGGCGCCATCCCTCCCCATCTCTCCCCATCTCTCCCCATCCCTCCCCACCTCTCCCCACCTCTCCCCACCCCTCCCCACCCCTCCCCACCTCTCCCCATCCCTCCCCATCCCTCCCATCTCTCCCCATATCTCCCCATATCTCCCATATCTCCCCGTATCTCCCTTTTTTAGGCGCGCGTGCTGCTCGGCTCGATGACCAACGTCCTGCCCTCGGCACCTCGCCTCACCGCCGTGAACCTTCCACGAACCCTCCATGAGCCGTCGCGCAGGTCTGCCGCGACCTCGCCTCTCGCTTCATGGCGCGCGAGGGCGGCGACGCGGAGGCGGAGCAGGCGCGGCGGCACGCTGTCTGCCTGGTCGCTGCGTTCGCGCACACGATGAAGTTCCACCTGACCGTCGACGGCGTCGCGCACTCGAGCCGAGGCAGCAGCGGCGGCGGCGGCGGCCTCTTCATCATTCCTCTCGCTGCGAGCAGGCCTCGCCTTCAACGACACGTGGCAGCGGTCCGGCTCGAGCGAGACGCTGTCCAAGGAGGCGCGCGCGCGCGCGCGCGCACACATCCCCCCCCCCCCCCCACCGCTCACCCACGCGCACTGGGCCTTGCAAGTTGAATGCCGTGCCAGCTCCTGTCGTCTAGACGTGGAGTCGCGAGGGACTAGCCTCGCCCTTGCCCCACCACCACCACTGTGTGTGTGGAGAAGCTTGCCCTATCTAGAGACCGCACCATCTTAGGCGCTGGCGTCCGAGTACCGAGCGGCTCTTGAGCAGGAGATCCTCGTCGCCTTCGCCGGTGCCTTTGACGGGGCGGAGGAGGCATGTCCGGGGCACGTCCACGACATGTCCGAGACATGTCCACAGGCGCCTTTGACGGGGCGGAGGAGGCATGTCCGGGGCACGTCCACGACATGTCCGAGACATGTCCACAGGCGCCTTTGACGGGGCGGAGGAGGCATGTCCGGGGCACGTCCACGACATGTCCGAGACATGTCCACAGGCGCCTTTGACGGGGCGGAGGAGGCATGTCCGGGGCACGTCCACGACATGTCCGAGGCATGTCCACAGGCGCCTTTGACGGGGCGGAGGAGGCATGTCCGGGGCACGTCCACGACATGTCCGAGACATGTCCACAGGCGCCTTTGACGGGGCGGAGGGGCGCGAGGCAGAGGCCGAGGCGGCGCGAGATTACATCGAGGCGCAGTTCGCGACGGACTCGGCAAGTGGCCAATCTACCCATGCCTCTCGGCTCGATCTCGGCTCGATCTCGGCTAGGCGCTCCTCGCCAAGGACGTCGGCAACCGGCCGCTCCACGTGATCCACGAGCTCTGCAAGCTGCTCGCGAGATCGGCAGGCTGGCGAGGACTCTTCTCGGAACCTTCCCGTCTAGGTGATCCACGAGCTCGGCAAGCTCTCGCGCTCCTCCGCCCTCGGCCTGGAGCCGGTCGCCGCCGCGCAGATCGACGACCGGCTGATGAGGCTCTCGGGCTGACTATCTCGGCTGACAATCTCGGCTGCACCTCGGCTGCACCTCGGCTGCACCTCGGCTGCACCTCGGCTGCACCTCGGCTAGGCTCTCGGACATCCTCGGCGGCTGCGAGCGGCTGATGCGGACCCCAATGTACAGCGGCTCCACCACGCACACCTCGCGCTTCCTGTACGTGTGGTGCGCCTCGCGCCCACTCCCCAGATCTCCCAGATCTCCCAGATCTCCCAGATCTCCCCATATCTCCCTCGGTAGGTGCGCCTCGCTCCCGCTCTCCCCATATCTCCCCCATATCTCCCCCATATCTCCCCCATATCTCCCCCATATCTCCCCATATCTCCCGTAGGTGCGCCTCGCTCCCGCTCGTCATGTGCCGCAATTCTCTGGCAGTGCACGCCGCGCCCGTGAACAGCGTCTCTTCACGGCCGCAGCTGTGGACAGGTACCCCGTCGTCGGGCCGTGGGGCACCGTGCCGGTGTGCGCGATGATGACGTACTTCATGCTTGGCATCGAGGCGGAGAGAGCCGAGATGCAGCCGAGATGCAGCCGAACTGCAGCCGAGATGCAGCCGAGATGCAGCGACTTTAGCCTGGCATCGAACGCCGGCGTCCGGGGCGGAGATGCATCTCGGCTAGAGTCCACTCTTGTCTTTTCGCGAGTAGGACGTCGGCGTCCGGACGGAGATGCCGTTCGACCTGCTGCCGCTGTGGCTGTACGTCGACGCGATCGAGGCGAGTTGTGACCAGATACGCAACCACCGCAAGAGCTTCCTCGCGTGAGCTGCGCAGCTGGCCCTTAGTAATGCATGTACAGTCGGGTGCCGCAGCATGGAGACCCCACAAGCGTACTTGTCGGCAGCCTCGTGAAGGCTCTCGGGGTGTACCATACAGAGAGAGAACAGTGATCTCAGTGGAATAGTGCCTGTCTGTGGCGCACGTACGGTGGAGTCGGACCGGCGCGGTCTTGTGTGCTCTACTAACAGTACTAACCGTACACTAATCACTATAAGAGAGAGCATACGAGATACGTGTGAGGTGTGTGCGCTTTGGTAGCCCGGCTTTCAACTTTCAAGTTTCATTCCAGACAGATGTCAGATTGACTCACACCTCTCGAACTCTCGCGGTACGGCTCTCTACCTGTGCACGCTGTAGGAGAGAGAGAGAGAGAGAGAGAGAGAGAGAGAGAGAGAGAGAGAGAGAGAGAGAGAGAGAGAGAGAGAGAGAGAGCGGGAGAGAGAGAGAGAGAGAGAGAGAGAGAGAGAGAGAGAGAGAGAGGTAAGGTAAGGTAAACGTCTCCACACACACAAAGTGGTGGGGCAAGGGGGGGCGACCCTCGCATCTCCACGCCCGGGACACGGGCAGGAGCCCCACGGCATTCAAAGTGCAAGCACCGGCCCGGTGCCGTGGGTGAGCACAACCTGCACCCCACTCCCTCCCTCCCAGACACAGGACCCACACACAACCCCCACAGCGTGGTCGTCTACGTGTTCAGAAACACCAAGCAGCGAGGCGAGGGTGAAGGGGTAAGGGGCTGTGTGGGGCAGAATCTTCATCCGGCTTATCTGTGACTACTCCATCTAGCCTGGGGGGTCGCAGGAGGGGGGGGCAGAGGGTAAGATATGGGTTAGGCCAGCTACAAGTCGGACACCCTCCCCTCCTCGGAGCGGTCGGTGTCCTCGTCGTCGTCCTCGGTCTGCATCGCCTCGCCAGCCTTGAACCTAAACACGGCGTCGGCCGGCGCCGAGGCGCCGGCGGCCGTCATCAGGTGCATGACATATTTGTCGCGGCATGCCGCATCAATCTCTCCGTGCTCGGCCAGCTCGTTCGCGAGCCAGTCCGAGGCGACGGTCGTCGCCACGGTGCCCTGGGGGACCGTGGCGCACACCACGCTAGGGCCGCGCCGATATCCGTCGTCCCTCTCTGGGGGCAGCGAATAGGTGACCCGAGTCTTGGACCCCCGGTGCTGGCGATTTACTGGTATAGCCCCCCAGAACAATCAAACACTCTACGGCCAAAACAATCAAATGATGGTAAGATTTACCACGACTTCTGAGGCAAAAATCTGACAAAAATCGGAAAAATAAAAAAATACCCGGTATTTTCCAGGTATACCCGGATTTTCCCAGGTATACCCGCAAAATACCCGGTATGCCGGTATTTTGCCAATTTGGCTGAATTTGGCCGCAAACCAGCCTCAGACTCGGCTCAGATCCCGACAATTTGATGATTCCACGGAGTTTCGTAATTTACCATACCACTCTCTGCTCATACCATACCACTCCCTAGGAGAATCAAATAAGTGGTAAAAACCACTCATTTCCCAGTAAATCGCCAGCACTGTAGGACCCCGCCTGGCTGCGCGCCCGCGCAGCTGCAGACCGCAGCCCGTCCATCACGTACTCGATGTTCGCGCGTAGCTGCGCGCGCGGGCGCTCCGCGCGCTCGGCCTCGCTCGCGGCCGCGCGCTCGCCAGCCTCCTTCGCCCGGCGCTCCTTCTGCCGGTTCAGAGAGAGAGAGAGAGAGAGAGAGAGAGAGAGAGAGAGAGAGAGAGAGAGAGAGAGAGAGAGAGAGAGAGAGAGAGAGAGAGCTCCAGTGTCCAGCGCGCACAGCGGAGTAAGCAGTAACCAGACGGCGGCGACGGTGGCTAAGGCGGCGGTGAGGGGGTGGTGCTGGAGGGTGGGGCGGGGAGTCGTAGTCGTACGGCGACGGTGCTCGGTGCACGGTCTGGCGGCGCTGCCGCTGCGCGCTGGCGATGGCGGCGGCAGCGATGGCGGTGGTGGCGAGGGTGGCGGCGGCGAGGGCGGCGGTAGCGACGGAGGCGTCTGCCCCCCTCCCAGCGTGCCGAGCGCTTGAGTGTTGAGAGCATCCAAATAATACATGCAAAAATGAACCAGATCCAGCTCTGGCGAGAGCGGAGTGCGGAGAGGGAGTGCGGGCAGATTCCGAGATTGGCCGTGCGCGTGGGGAAGAGGGTACAGCGAGTGGAGGAGGAAGGTAGGAGAGGACACCACCTCGCTCGCAGAGCATTTGAGCGCGGTGCAGCACCGCAAGCACACGCCTTATGCTGGACCACGGTGCGGATTCTACTGCACGCGCGGCGCCGCCGCGAGCTCCGCCGACGCCGCCGTCGCCGCGGTGACGAGCGACGTGGCGTGCTGCGCCGCGGCGGCGGCCTACAGGAAGGCTCCGAGGAGGGCTCAGGGACGGTTCCGTCACGAGCGAGGAAGCGCGCTGCTGCGCCGCGGCGGCGGCCTGCATCGCGCCGAGCTTCTCGAGCAAGCCCTGCCTCCCCTTGACCTCGGCGAAGCAGACCGTCTCGCCGAAACGCGCCTTGAGATGGTCGCGCATGTCGTCGTACACGCCGTCGGCGAGGCCGAACTCGACGGCGCGCGCGCCCCCGTACACAGAGCCGTCGAAGAGCGCCGTGCGGCGATCGGCGCGAGACTTGTAGTCACCTAGTCTCGACACCTCCTCTCTGCCAACCTCGGCTGCGCTCGGGTAAGCTCGACTTGCGCTACGGCGCGCGGCTTGCGGTCGCCCGCGTGGAGGCCTCGCAACCTCCCCTGATCTGGGCTGATCTCGGCTCATCTCCCCTCATCTCGGCTGATCTCGGCTAATCTCGCCCGCGGCTCGGTGGTAGGTTGCCGCCTCGTAGTGCTTCAGCCGCGAGCCACGCGCGGCCTCGACCTTGGCCTTGAAGTCGGCGTGCAGCTCCTCGAGCAGCATCTCCTTCTTCCGGACCTCGACCGGGTCTCGTGCGCGGAGAGGGCTGTCCCCCGCCTTGGAGGTGCCTGCGGCGGTCGACCGCTCCCCGTCGGGGACTGGAGCTGTGCGCGGCGTCTGGGAGACTCTGGGAGGCGCGTCCTGGGGTGCGTCTGGATGGTGGGGGGCGAGTCTGGATGGGGTGGGTTTGAGGTGCGTCTGGATATGTGGGAGATGTCTGGGAGGCGCGTCCGAGAGGTGGCGGCCGGGAGGCCTGCGGTGAGCGTGCGGTCCTCCACGCCCCACTTGCGGAGCAGCTCGACCAGCCCGACCGACGGCGAGACGACGCCGATCGAGCCGACGATGCTCGAGGGGAGGACAAAGATCTCGTCGCACGCGGAGGCGATGTAGTACCTGCAGCGAGGCGGCGCGTCGCTGGATAGCAGACGCCGCCGCGTACTCCGGGAGGCGGCGGCCGCACCCGCCCGACGCACAAACATCGGTTGTGTAGCAGAGCAGCTCGACGTCAGGGTGCTTCTTGCGCAGCTGCTGCAGCCGCGAGTGCAGCAGCGAGGACTGCGCAGGAGAGCCGCCGGGCGAGTTGAGCTCCAGGACAACGCACCGCGGCTCCACCTTGAAGGCCTGCTCCAGAACTGGCTCGAACGCTGAAAGGCTGATGGTCTGCCGCGCCCCGAGCCCGCCCGGCGCCGGCGCCGCGATCTGCCCGGACATCTTCACGACGCACACCAGCGGCGGCTTCTCCTCTTTCTCTGAGCCGCTGCCGCCGCCAGCCTCGCTCAGTTTTCGCTTGAGCTGCGTCATCACGAGCGGGTTGTCGGCGAGGTAGGAGGAGGCGGCGCTGGCGCCGACACCGATCGCGGCTCCCGTCGCGAGGCAGCGGACGCGGGCGAGCATTGTTGTGGGGGCCGGCGAGGGCTCGAGCAAAATACACAACCCCACGCGCGGGCGCTCTAAGCGCGAAGTGGCAAGTGGATGTACGAAAAAAAGAATTTTGTAACCCGAGACTGGCTCGGAGTGGCACTACAAAAGGCACGGCAGAAAGAATTTCGCATCCCGTGGACAGAAGAATCAAACCCCGTAGAGATCTATTATAGAAGAAAGAATTTTACAACAAAACTCTCTCGCACACGCACGATTCACACAACAGGCAAAGCGCGGACGACGGCTTCTAATAGAAGCCGTCGTCCTCACAGAAGCCGTCGTCGGATAGAAGAAAGAATTTTCAAAGCGCGGTTACACTCCAAGTGCTCCAAGTCTCTCGCACAACACTCACACCTGAAATTCAGTGACAATCGACTGTCACGCGGCCACTGGCACTAACGGTTAGGGCGACGGCAAGAGCTACACATCGCCACCAATTCACCCATACGGCTCACTCGTCGCTGTGCCAGGGATTCCGTAGCCCTTGCCGTCGCCCTTGCCCTTGCCCTTGCCCTTGCCCTTGCCCTTGCCCCTGCCCTTGCCCTGGCCCTGGCCCTTGCCGCCGTCACCCTTACCCCTCCCCTTCCCCTTCCCCCCGCCTTTGCCGCTTTCCTCGCTAAAGCGCGCCTTCTTGGCCGCCTGGCAGCCGCCGCAGCGACTTTTCTTGAAGTCGAAGCCCTTTGTCTTGAAAAAAAGCTGCTCGCCGACCGTGAAGATGAAGTCATTCCCGCAGTCTCGACACTGAAGGGTCTCATCCTCGGGATCGGGCGGCAGCACGAAAGTAGCGGCTTTGAAACCGCTGTCGGTGGCGGCGGCTGCCTCGGGCTGCACCGCTGCATCGACGTCGGCCGGAGCCGCGGCGGCCTTGGCGGCCTTGGCGGCTTTTTTTGCGAGCTTCTTCTTCTGCGCCACCTGCTGAGCGCCATATTTGCCTGCCTTGGCCGCCTTCTTGGCCGCCTTCTCCTCCTTTGACAGCTTCTTGATCGTCGAGTCTAGATCAGCCGGCATTTATGCCTATCTCTGGTCGGCGAGAGGCGCGCGAAGGACGCGCCGTGGTCGGCGAGACGCGCGAACGACGGAAAACGGAGGCAGCGTCCGTGGCAGTGTGGTCAGGGAGGCACGTGCGAGGCCAGGCGCGCGAGGAAAAGAATTTGCGAATCCATGTGTGCGCCTTGTGCGTTTGTTTCATAACATCGAAGGCGAGCTCAAAAAGTACAACAAAAGGCGGTCGCGGGTGCCTCTTAGCTCCCCGGTCCTGGGCGTGCGGTTGATGACTGCACTCCAACGTCCAAGAGTGCTCCAAGTGCACAGCACGATTCACGCGACAGACAAGGCGCGGGCGACGGCTTCCTCAGAAGCCGTTCCCCCCACCACGCAGGAGCAGAAACAAAAACATTGTGTGAGTGTTAGAGTTGTTTGGTAATTTGAGGTTCGACTCTCTACTGTCTCTCTCTCTACTGTCTCTCTCTCACTACTCTCTCTCACTCTACTCTCCCTCCCTCTCTCTCTCTCTCTCTCTCCCTCTCTCTCCTCTCTCCCTCTCCCCCACAGCCCCTCTCACATCTCAATGAACAGACTGCGCCATGCAGACCGGCCAGGCAGGCCATCAGGAGAAGCCGCCAAAGTTCACTGGCAGCGGCTTGGGCTCGAAGAGGCGCTGCAGGGACGCCGCCTGCTTCGGGTCGCGCTGCGGCTGAATGAAGCAGATGAGCTTCATCAGCTCGCTTCGCCCCAGGAAATACGCGCGTACCCGCTGGCACATGATGATGATGTGAGCGCGCACGGGTCTTGCACCGCAAAAGTACCACCCTCGAACATACGCGTTGATGCCGAGCAGCGTGCCGCCGTCGTAGAAGGCAGGATACATTCTCAGAAGCCAGCGAAGGGGGACGCCGTTGGTGAACTGAGTATCCATGATATGGTACAGTCCCGCATCGATATCGCCGCTCGCTTCGTCTCGCTCCACCAGAAGCTCAATCAGGAAGACGGCAGCATACCAGCAGAATTCACGGAAGTCGGCCGGGCTCAACGACTTGCATGCAGCGTCGTAGTCGGTGTCGACCAAGCCGACGACGACCAAGCCGGCGTCGGTACGGGTGAAGTAGCGAGGGAGATGGCGCTGGACGACATCGCCGTGCGGCCACGTCTCGGGCCTCGGGTTCTCGCGCACAAACTTTGCGATCCTGTCGTACCCAATCCTTTTGCTCAGCGCGAAGGATGCGCGGCACTTTTTCAGGGCAGCTCGGCGATCCCAGTTGCAGCTCGCGAGCATGCGCAGCAGCCAGCTTTCACGAGCCTTTGGTCCGTCGACTGGCCCGAGGCGGTCGCGCAGCCATGCAAGTGCTACGCCGTGCTGTTTTCTCAGCTCGCTGATCGGGCCTAGCTTCGCCGGTGCAGCAAAGACGACCCACCGTGAGGGGGAATCGTCACCAAACTCGATGACGTTCCGCGCGCCGCGCTGCCTCGCTCGCGCTTCTAGGCGCCCGAGTCCTGTTCTCGTCTGCACGATAGAGATGGCTCAAGACCCAAAGTACACGATCACCATTCAAACGAGGCCAGCACCGACGCGTCTCGTCGCACCTCGCTTGGCCAGACGGTCGGTCAAGGGAGCGATCCGAGCGAGTGTCCGCAGGGCACTGGCTCCAGGCCGTGCCGAAGCCGCAGAGCTTCACGCAAGTGGGACAGATGTACGAGACAACGATGCACAAGGTCGAGTATGTGGCACATTTAAAGAATTTCCTCGCCTTCGAGCTTCCACGCCCATGTTGTGACGGCGGATGGTGGTCGTGGTTGACCCGCTCTACGTCACGCTGTTCGTGGAGGACGCGCGTCCCCTCGCGACGCTTCTCGTCTGATTGCCAAGGGCCATCACCACTCGCGCGGCAAGAACAATAAACGGCTGCTGCCGGAAGCCACCCCCCTCTTCCGGCACGTCGAGCGGCGGCACTAGGCCCCCCGCCAAGAGGCGCGCGACCAAGATCCACACCAAGGAGGGCTTGATGTACTTTGTGGACCGGCTCGGGCCGCTGCCGCACGAGATAGTGCGGACAGAGATGCGCGGGCCGCCCGGCCACACGTACAAGGTCTTGTGCATGAGGCCGGTCGAGCCCACGGGCAAGACCCGCGAGGCTCTGGGCCGCAGCTCGACCGATGCCACCTCCGTCGCCCCGGAGGCGTTTGTCCAGAAGAACGAGCTCGTCTACCTGAGCGAGCGCTTTGGGCAGCTCTGGTGCCTCGCCGCCCGCCCCGGCCCGGCCCCGCCGCCTTGTACCACACGCGCAGCCCACGCGCTTGCCACGTCTCCCGCCAGGTTCGAACGCGCCAAGGAAGACAGCCTCCTGAGGGCGTCGCTCTGCGAGGCGGTGTCTCGCTTCGCTGCGAGCTACGCCAAGCATCCGATTAGCGCAGAGCAAGCTTTCCGCTCGCTCGCCAAGTGTTCGGATGCGACGCCAACCCCGGACGAGTTCTCGGAGCGCGCAAAATTTAGCGTTGCCGTTGGCCGTTGCGGGCACGGAGCCTACCCTGTGGTGAACGAGGCCGCGCGCGGCGCGAGGTGACTCGTGTACACTGTGAAAACTACTGCGTTGTACGAAGCACTGCAACAGAAGAGTACGCAACCCTGGCCTTCGGCACTACATCCTCTCCCTCTCGCCACGCATTTTGGCAAACCATTTGCTATCTCGTAAATTCGCAAAAATATGCCTCAAATCGGTGTGCGCCACGGCCAGAGATCGAGCCGTCCACACGCTTCTTTGCGCGGCCCAGCAGCGCCCTCTGCGCACGAGAGAGTGTCGGTGGCGGCCGACTCACCCCGGGTGCGCGCGCTTTTGCTGCCGGCCGCCGCCACCGCCGGCGTCGGCCGAGTCGTCCGGCACGAGCAGACCGAGCGCTCGCTCGCAGCCGTCGCGCAGCGCCTCGTCGCCGTCGCCGAGCGTGGCGAGGTGCGAAAAGTAGCGGACTGAGGCGACGGCGCGAGGCACGTCGATGCCGAGCAGCCTGCGCGGCTCGACTCCCTCCTCGAGCGAGCCACTCATCGCGTCGAGCACCGCGAGGTAGTTGCTCCGCAGCTGGCCGTCGCGGAAGAGTAGGTATGCGAGCCCTTCGGCGTCGTCGGCGAGCTCGTACACCTGGTTGATGGGCGAGCCGACACGCTCGCCGTTCCGGATGAACGGCGGCGTCGGGAAGATCCACCACGACCAGCAGCCAGCCTTCCTGCCGTCCTTGAGCTCTCGCACAGCCCGGTCGTGGTCGAGGGCCTGCTTGGACGCGAAGCGCTGCATGTCGTGCGGGTCGGCGGCGGCGCGGGTGGGTGAGGCGGGACCGGAGCGCGCAGCGCCGGTGATCCCGCGCAGTGTGGTCTGGCGCATTGGGCGCCGAGTCGTTTGCGGGGCGGAAAAGAGAATTTGCGGCGCCGACAGTATGCACGGTGTCAGGAGACGGAATACGGAGGAGCTGTATAGGTCACGAGAGACCCACACCATCGCTACATCACCACAGCCACCAAGTCGGATACAAGTCGATGACAATGTGCGCGGCAGGACAAACCAAACATGAGTCAAAGAAAGTCCTTGGGGGGCTGGGGGTGGGGCCGCGCAACGATTGTGGGCGACCATCGCTGACCCATGCTCGCCGCACCCGACGACCAGCTTTTGCCCGAAATTGCCACCCTCGAGGGCTACGTCGCCCAGCGCTCGCCCGCCGGCCGGCGCGCGCCTCCGGCCGACTACGTGCTGTGCGACCCCTCCGCCGAGCTGCCGGTCGTCACCCTCGTGCTCGAGCGGCGCGATGCCGGCGGCGGCGGGCCGGCCTGGCGGCGCTGCAAGCTGGTGCTCTGGGGCTTCTGGTGCGAGAAGCTGGCGCCCAGCGTCGCGCTCGGCTGCAAAGTGACCGTCAACGGCGCAGAGGTCGAGCCGGCGCCCGACGCCACCGACCTAGAGAGCCCGTGGCAGCTGTCGCTGCCGCCAAAGGGCGCCTCGCCCTCCGCTCGCGTCGTACTGGTGGGCGAGCAGCGCACCCTCACTCTCGGCGCCACGGGCGCCTTTGTCTCAACCGCCAACGCCGCGCCCGCCGCCGCCGCCGACAGCACTGCTCCGGCTGGCGGACAGGGCGCAAAGCGGCCGCGCCGCGCCACAGGGCAGTACGCCTACTCGAGCGTGGAGCGGTTGCGGCAGGCGTCAGGCTCGGACGGAGGCGACGACTGGCACTGCTTCGGCGTGGTTGTCGAGTACCAGCTGCCGCGCGCGACCAAGGGGACAGACCTGCGTTCGGTGCGGCCGCACGCCTCTGGTAGGAGAGGGAGGCGAAGCACAGTGGGGCCACGTCTGGACACCGGACTCCGAAGAGCCTGCCGCTAGCGGCGGAGAGACGGCAACACTGGATCGACACACAGACACAACCAACAATACACTCGGCCTGCAGGGCTGCCACACCTCCTGAGGGTGGGAAGCGCCTCTTCACAGCCACAGAGCAACGACCACCCAGGACCGCGGTGGCCACTCAGAGGCAAGAGTGTGGGCAGCGCCTCTTCACAGCCGCAAGAGTGTGGGCAGCGCCTCTTCACAGCCGCAAGAGTGTGGGCAGCGCCTCTTCACAGCCGCAAGAGTGTGGGCAGCGCCTCTTCACAGCCGCAAGAGTGTGGGCAGCGCCTCTTCACAGCCGCGCGTGCATGGACAGGTGCTCCACCTCGTCGACGAGTCTTGCGCCTCGGCGGGAGGCCGCCTCGAGCTCGGTACCGTCGAGGGACGCGTCCGGGACGCGTCCACCCACACCCTCCCTAGGCGGCACCGGCGGTACGCAGTGTCCATCCCCCGGACACGTCCCCGACACGTCCCCGACACGTTTCCGTAGGCGGGAGAGTACCTCGCCCTCAACTGCTTCAAAGCACACCCGCACGTGCCCGGCGTCGGCGCCGTCGTGAGGCCGCACACCGCCTCGGCCCCCCCGCCGCCGAGCCACGACATGTCCACGACTCGTCCCTGGCGCGTCCGACAGGCTGCACCGCCTCAAGCCTTCCCCGCCGTACGACGGCGTCCCGCAGGCGCATGCCGTCGGCGCGCCTCGCGGCCCTCGCGGCGGCGCGACACTAGATGCCGGAGACTCTCGCCCCTTGTGCGCGCAGGGCGCAGAGTCGTGCTCGGCTCCGACGGTGGTGCCCGCCCGCGGCGCAGGCGGCGCGACGCTCCGCACGCAGTGGGTCTTTGGCGACGGGGCGTCTCCGTCGGCCAACCGCTCGGCGGAGCACCTCACTTGGTCGGACGCCGATTCGGCGCGAGTTGAGGCGCTCGCGCGCTGGTCGCGCGCCGCGCTCTCAACGCCGGGAGGTGCGTTCGCAGCCTTCCGCCAGCCGGCGCGCTCTCTCGCCGGCGCGAGAGAGCTCGCGTCTACAGCGGCGGCAGGGGGGGGGGCGGGCAGCATGACGGCCGTCGACCTCGAGAAACCTTCCAGGAACCGTCTAGGAGCCGTCTAGGAACCGTCTAGGCAGCATGACGGCCGTCGACCTCCTCGTCCGCATCGCCGCGGTCCCGAGCAGCGCCGCCGAGGCGGCCGCTCTGCCGAGCAAGCACGGCCACGGCGCCGCCGGTGCGCTCGCGAAGCTCCTCCCCGTCGCCGTCGTCGCCGACGCCGCCGGCGCGCCGCGCGCCCCCCTCTACCTCTCTCACGCCATCGCAAAGTCGACGGCACAGGCGCTCGTGCGCCACTCGAGCGAGACATGGGGAGATAGGGGGAGATATGGGGAGATATGGGGAGATATGGGGAGATATGGGCACAGGCGCTCGTGCGCCACTCGAGCGAGACATGGGGAGATATGGGGAGATATGGGGAGATATGGGGAGATATGGGGAGATATGGGCACAGGCGCTCGTGCGCCACTTGAGCGAGCGGCCCTCCGCCATTGCCGCGGCTGGCGGCAGCGCCTTTGCCGGCGCCGACGGCGGAGCAGGAGGCGGCGGCGCGGGGCCGCTGCAGGCGCTGCTGAGCGGAGGCGGCGGCGGCGGCGGAGGCGGCGGCGGCGGCGGCGGCGGCGGCGGCGGCGGCGGCGGCGGCGGCGGCGGCGGCGGCGGCGTGGCGGGTGGGCAGGACGAGTATGCGGGGCGGTGGGTGCGACTCCGGAGCGTGCTGCTGGAGCGGCTGCCCGCGGGCGTCGGCGTGGTGTACACGAGCAGCAGCATGGCGATGCACGTCCCAGACCACCACGCCGAGGTGGCAGGGCTGCGCGCAGCAGTCGCGCCGCCCGCCGCCGCTCCTTCTTCCGCGGCCGCCACTTCCGCTGCCGCCGCTTCCGGCGCCCCGCCGCCCGCCGGTGCCGGTGGTCTCCGCCTTGGGGCGGCAGAGAGCGACGGTGTTGGGGGCGGAGCGGCGGCGGGTGGAGCGGCGGCGGCAGATCTCGCTCCGAGGTGAGCGGGGTAGAGAGGCAGAGAGCAGGAGAGAGGCCTCCGCTTTGGCATCGCCGCCACCCGTGCCTTCGCCCGCCGCCGCAGGCTGAGCACGTCGCTGCTGCTGCCGTCGCTTGAGCTGCTGTCGGTTCGCCAGGCGCAGGACCGTGCCGTCGACTCGGCGCCGGCGCTGCTCCGCGTGCGTGCCAAGGTGGGGCTCGCCTGCTCACGGCACGAAGTGTCTAGGAAGTGTCTAGGAAGTGTCTAGGGGAGTGTCTAGGAAGTGTGCCAAGGTGGGGCTCGCCTGCCCGACGGATGGTCTCGGCTCTCACCTCGGCTCATCTCGGCTCATCTCGGCTCATCTCGGCTCTCGGCCGATGTCGGCCGATGTCGGCGGTAGGTGGTGAGCGCTTTCCCCACGGAGCCCGCCCTCTGGACTGTGCGCGTCGACGCGACGGGCGCGGCGGCGGCGTCTTTGGACGGGCGTGGCGCTGTCCGCCATGAGTACCGGATGGCGCGAGATTAGCCGAGATCAGCCGAGATGCAGCCGAGGGCGAGGCACCGCCGCAACCAGGCCTAGCGATGGCGCCCCGCTGCCTGATACCCCCCCCCCCCCCCCCCAAA